TAAGTTTTGCCTTTTTGTCGCCATCTCTGTTTGAAACCTGCAATTGCAGTTATTTGCGGAATTATATTCTTTGCGTGGGTTGTGCGTCGGGCGCGGCTCCAGCACGATGTCAGTCACCACACCGGTGTGGATACTGTACTTCGGAATCACAGATTCTAGCCTACGTCTGGGACGTATGCCCCAAATATGAATTTTTACTGGATATTGTCATCTGAACAAGTCTGCCACTTTTGTTCTGACCAACTGAGGAAAAAAGCATTACAATAAATCGCGCTGCCAAGGGTACGATAGATTAGCTCATATCACTTCAAACCATGCAAATTATTATTACTGTTATACTTTGTTCTCAAATTGTTAATGTTAACAACATCAGCACTGCATGTAGCTAGTGTGTATTAGCGTGTAGATATCAATTTCTGTACAGTAATCTCTAATTGTCTTTTATTTTTAACCCAAAGAGCAAATTATTCTTCCTTAGAACTGGTTCTCTTTAAAATAAAAAAATATCGTGTAATCTCACATAGGCTATCTGTAATCAGATGCACATTTAAAACTGGAGTATAATCTAATTTCAGGCACTTGTGTTTCATAAACACATAATAATTTCTGGATTACAATCCGCAATAAAAATGATAAATTTAATTATTCCAGCTGCTGTGAGAAAAGGCTATAAACGATCCGCCACCTGCAGGATCCTCACATGCGACATAGCCTACTAGCCGGGACAACTTCTTTATGTTTACCGACGTGGCATAATGACACCGCGGTATGCTGGAATTTCCCACAAATTCCGACCAGTACCACTCAAATTAGAAAACATTATTATAAGCTTACCGATGTGAATCGGGCTAAGGTAAGGAGATAGTTTTGGACCCTGGCTAGTTATGTACTTAATCAAAAATTGATTTTGGATCATTTTTAGCCCAAAAAAGTTACAGATTGCAGCTTTAAGAAATTAATACTTTTATTCAGCATTTTATTAATGCATTCAATTAATCAAAAGTGACAGTAAAGATATTTACAATGTTACAAAAGAATAAAATAAATGCTTTTTAAACTTTCTATTCATCAATGAATCCTGAAAATTTTTAAAAATTTTGTTTCCACAAAAATAATGTTCATATTAGAATTTGTATAAACACTTTAGAATATCACAGGTTTTATTTACAGATTGCAGCTTTAAGAAATTAATACTTTTATTCAGCATTTTATTAATGCATTCAATTAATCAAAAGTGACAGTAAAGATATTTACAATGTTACAAAAGAATAAAATAAATGCTTTTTAAACTTTCTATTCATCAATGAATCCTGAAAAAATTTTTAAAATTTGTTTCCACAAAAATAATGTTCATATTAGAATTTGTATAAACACTTTAGAATATCACAGGTTTTTTTACTGTATTTTTGATCAAATAAATGCAACGTTGGTGAAACCATAAAAACATAAAAAATTTGCCCCGACCCCAAACTTCTAAATGGTAGTGTATTCTTAGCAGGTACGACATGCCAAATAAATCATGCATTCTGAACATCTAGCAACTGTTTTCCTACTATGATTGAGTAATATCGTACCAGGGCGTACTTCCACAGTAGCTGTAGCCATGCTTGAGCGGCCCTGGATATCCGAGACCCGGAGTTGGAACAGGTATGTTCCTTCTACCAGGTTGGCGATGTAAAGGAAGGCCTCATGATCTGAACCATATAACACATCCTACTCTCAATGGAAGTGAAACAAAAAAGAGAGATTATCAGGTAAAACACTGAGCCGCAGCAAACGGTATAGAAAGAAATACAAATATCTCACTCACCCCGGCAGCAGGGCTCTGTTCATCTCTAACCCAAAGAAAAGACACATTTGCTGTTCCACTGTTGGATACGGAGCCCCTGAGCACCAAAGAGTTGTTGGGTAAAGTGAGTGTGTGACTGCCGCTGGCATGGGCGACCAATGGCAAGCTTTTTGCTGTGAATTTAATAACACACAGAATTGCTGGAAACTTCCTAGAATATTTGATGTCTTTAATTTTGAACAGATTTTCAATTGTTTTGTTATTTAACGTCAAACAATCTTCTTTTTGTGAAATATTTCTCTTCAAAAGTGTTCTTGTGATGTCCTTCTTTAAAATAAATGCCATTTGGTTTGCTATTTTCTGACCTGCATGTATTTTAAATGTGGATTAGGTGTTCAAATATTTTTGGGGGTCAGTGTATTTACACAAATAAGAAAGAAAAAACATTCAAATTACAGAAATACATGATGCATGTTGCTTATATTTATACTTGCTTGATTCTGCTCACCTTCTTTAATGGTGAGGGTCAGGACTGCGCTGTCTGTTTCTTCCTGCTGATCTGTCACAGTCAGCCTAAACTTGTAATTCCCAGATCTCAGGCCCGTCGCTATGGCAACTGCTTTATTGGCATCTTTTATCTTCAAGCCTGGAGGGCCACTTCACGGTTACATATGAGGAGAGTGGTGATGGCACATCAATACACTTTTCACCAAAATCCTTCACTATTCATGCAACACTAAACGTGAGTGAAAATTTAGAAATGTTTCGAAATGTGTTCTGAAATATGAGACCGTCGATGAAGCAATAACAGATCCTACTGAAGCATTCAATAAGCCACATTTGTCGTGTTATTTATGGAGTTGGGATTTTTGTGAATAGATTCTTATGTTTTAATGAACTGGTTCAATAAATAATTATTTTCAAGACTTCACATGTTTACAGATGTCCTGTGATATTTTACATGCTTTAACCATAGTTTAATAAAATGCCTATGTACACTACTGTTAAACATTTGGGGTTATTTTTTTTTTTTTTAGGAAATTAATGCTTTTACTCAGCAAGTATGCATTAAAGTAAACTGATCGAATTTACAGTACTTTTACATTTTTTAAGACATTATTACAAAGGATTTCTATTTCAAATTATTGCAGTTCTTTTGAATTTCTGTTCATAATAGAATCTTGAAAAAAAGTATCATGGTTTCCACAAAAATATTAAGCAGCACAACTGTTTTCAACACTGATAATAACAAAGCCAGTATCATGACACTGCAGACTGGAGTAATGGTTGCTGAAAATTCAGTTTTGCCTTCATAGAAATAAATTACATTTTTAAATATATTTAAATAGAAAATGTTTTTTATTGTAATAATATTTTAGAATATTACTCTTTTTACTGCATTTCTAATCAAATAAATGTAGCCTTGGTGAGCATAAGAGATTTCTTTCAAAAACATTAAAAAATCTTACCTAGCCTAAACTTTTGAATCATGGTAAATAAAATGTTTATATAACAAAATAATAATATATATATATATCTAAAACAAATGATTTAGTCCATGAACCAGTTCATTGTAAAGAACCAACTACTAGATGATTCATTCATTGACCAGACATCACTAGTTGCCAAGTCAGTGAGTCAGTGTGCTGGTACCTGATCAAGTCCCATTGGTAGCTGATGATTAGCCTAAACTTTTGAATCATGGTAAATAAAATGTTTATATAACAAAATAATACATTATATATATGTGATGATTGAATGATTGTGAATGATTTAGTCCATGAACCAGTTCATTGTAAAGAACCAACTACTAGATGATTCATTCATTGACCAGACATCACTAGTTGCCAAGTCAGTGAGTCAGTGTGCTGGTACCTGATCAAGTCCCATTGGTAGCTGATGATGGCCTGATCGTCAGTGCTGTCACTGCCATTCAATGTAATGCTGTTGAGTGGGAGGAGAAGCTGCCTGTCTGGTCCTGTTATAGCGACTGGTGCTTTGTTTGCTACCACACAAAAAAATTCAATTATAAAGGATGCATAGTTTTTCTTCATACACACTGATAGGTGAAGTGGGTTTGTTTTACCAGGCAGAACAGTGACTGAGACAGTGTCTGAATCCTGTTGATCTCTGGAGTCAGTGACTGTCAGCTGAAACATGTACCGACCCTCCTGGAGATCCGAGAGCTGCAGGAATGGTGATCTCACATCCTGAAAACAAGTAGCATATGAATACATCAACTCAACATCAACTGCTCAAAATGTTTGTCTACCTAAATTCACAAATTGCATTACAGTTGTTTCAGCAAATACGATTTAGTGCTGCAGGATTAATATTAACCATAACTGACAAACTCCAAAAAGTGTCCTTAGCAATGAAAGACCAACTTCAAAACAATACACCTGTGGTCTAGAAAAAGTAAAGATCTTATTACCTGCATGGTGACCTTTTGGGTCAGGCTTCTGGGATGGAGAGTCCAGAGGTAGCTTGTAATGGTGTGGTCATCCGTGCTGTGGTTACCCCACAAGGTGAGGTGGCTGACAGGCAGGGTGACGACCCGGTCAGCACCTGCTCTGGCCCGAGGAGGGTCATCTTTTGGTATGCTGACCCTTACCGTGGCAGTGCTGGAGTCGGTCAGCCCATCAGAATCAGACACTGTCAGCCTGATGTGGGCCAAACAAAAATCAGGTCAGGATAAAGTTAATGAATTTAAAGTTTAAATTTTAAACCAAATTAAAAAAGCCCCAGAGGAATTGGCCACCAAAGATTTCAATAGCTAAAGAGACAGCGAATGAAAATTGAAAACTGCACAATACACAGGCCTATTCATAGAGTACAATCTTGAAGACAAGCTAAATCCTTACTTGAAGGTGTATTCTCCTGGTGAAAGATTTTGTAGCTGCAGTACAGGTGTATCAACAGGGCCTTCAGGTTGCCAAAAAGGGCCATCCACCTTCTCCCACAGGTAACTGACTATTCCAGCATCATCCACACTTTCTGGGAAGCATCGAGATGTATGTTTGGTTAAAAACTCATGACCTAAATGATGTAAATGAGCAAAGGAGAGAAATCGACACAAGCTACATACGACTGCCATTAATGATGAAGATGGGACCTTCTTGGAAAAGCACATCTTGGCTCATGGGCAGAGTGACAGCTTTTGGAGGCTTGTTTATATTCACTGCTGTAGATTGAAAAATAAGGCACATAAACATAATGCATGCTTGGTAAATAATATTAAAGTATGATCTAAAGAGGGTGCAGGTGTACCAGAGCGTACTGTGAAGTTCACAGCACTTTCTCCATACGCTTGTTGCGCTTTCACACTCACTCTGACGGTATAAACACCCACTGAAAGCTGCAATAAAGTAAACAAAGATTTGTTTAGAAAAAAGACAATTGTCTCATCTTCGAAATTATCATATCATAGTGAAAGTGACAAGGAGTTGAATCTCACTTCTGAAATTTTGACAGACTTGTTGTGCCGCCCCTCCATTACTCCATGATGTCCATCCGGTGAGGTTACCAAAGTCCACTCATATGTGTAAGGAGCTTCTAAGGAAAAATGCACTTTAAATGCATAATTATGATTCAGGAATGTACATAATTTAGAATGCAGAAGGCCATACCTGCAGTGTCATCGTGATTTACAGAAGCAGTTAGTTCAACAGTATTTTGAGGCAGTGTTGCTTCCACAGGGCCATTAATGGACACAGTCAGCGCTATTACTGAACACAGAGAGTGTGCGAAAAGAAAGTATAAGATAATCTGAGTAATAATAATAATAGTGATGCTTGCATTAGTAAGCACCACTAATAATTGGAAATTATGCAATAACACATCTGTAGCACCTGGCTCTTCTGAGATCATTCGCAGTGTGGCCTCAGTGCTGGGTGGAGTAGGGAAGGAACCACTGACTGTGCTGAACCCCGATGGCTCTGAGCTGATGTCTTGCAGGACGTTAGGTGCAGCAGCAGCAGATGAAACGTTCTGTGGGTCTTCTTCAACCTTTAATGAAAAGAAAAATTACTTTTCTCAATTACTCAACCGTGTCAACACAAAGCTTGTGAACTAATACAGGACATAAAAGTGAATAAAAAGTTAAAAAGGGGTCATATGATGTTGCTAAAAAGAACATTATTTGGTGTATTTGGTGTAATGATATGTGTTTATGCGGTTTAGGGTTCAAAAAACATAATTTCCCACATACTGTACATTATTGTTTCTCCTCTATGCCCCGCCTTTCTGAAACGCGTCGATTTTTACAAAGGTTATCGGTCTGAAAAACGAGGTGTGCTCTGATTGGCCAGCTATCCAGTGCGTTGTGATTGGCCGAATACCTCAAGCGTGTGACGGAAATATTACACCCCTACCATACTGTGATGCCCTGTCCAGCCGGAGCGACGAGACAAAGACATTAAAACCCATTATAAACGAGGCATTTGTTGCATCCAGTGGGGACATAATTATGGATTATAATGACTTATACTATCTTTTTATGCGTTGCATCGCGTCGCGTAAACATAAAACCATGTCTGCATTTGTGATCGGAAAAATGACAAACAACAAGCGCTACTCTACACTGCCCAAAATTCGCGCTTGAATCATCAGTGGCAAATTCTTGAAATATAAAAAACGTACTTACAGTCTGTGAGTCAGAACAGCCGGCATTGTAGTCTACTCTACCAGGATCAGTAAACAGTCCTCCATAAAATGTGCTGCACACATCTAAATAGAATATTTGGGTTGAACTGTTCTGGAACAGTGTTGTAAATACAACTTAACCACTGATTTCTAGTCGTGTCCTCTTTTGGAAGGCCAAACAAAGTAGTTTCGCTTTCCAACAAAACACACAGCGTCACACACGGCAGGCTAGAGTGAGCGGAGGCCGGCGGGCAAGAGTGAGGAACGGCCGGCGGGCTTGAGTGAGGAACGGTCGGCGGTCTTGTGGCAACCACATGTGACAACCCCGGGCTGGACTCTGCTTCGTCCATGGTGAAAGCCGATCCGGCGATCCACAGCGCAAAGTTGATGTATTTCCTCAGCGACCAGCACAGATCAGCTCCAGGCATGATGAAGCAGATATCGTCCTCTTTTGGAAGGCCAAACAAAGTAGTTTCGCTTTCATAACGAAACACACAGCGTCTTCACGACATGGCGGCGGCAGCAACAATACTACAGCGAGAATAAAAGTTACGCCTTCTTTCTTTGCGTGAACATTTGGGTGGCGTTATGCAAATCTTCCCACATAGGGACATAGACATGTGGGGGGCATGTTAGAATGAGTCGTTTTAGGTAGGCGTGGTTGACTCGTAACTTTTATAAAGAATATCTCTTTGGATTTGAGACTTTAGTCTTTACAACTTTACAGATCTTCTTTATGCACCAAGAACTTGTAACACTTCAAAGAGAAAGCAAAAATCGAAATCACATTATATGACCCCTTTAAATAAAAGGAAAATTATGTGTTGTTTCCGGATTTCACACAGCAGATGAGACATTAAAGACTGATTAAGCACTTGGCCAGAGAGAGAGTACATTTAAGACACCATGTTTCCCCAATGGCGCCACAACATTAAAATAGAATCATGACATTTCAAGCGATGATGAATTGGCAACTATGTATAAGAGAAAATACAGTTCTTTTCATTTTGATTACCATGCCAACAGCCTTGTCAATTTTATATTGATATTTAAAAAATGTAATTTAATATTATTATGGAATCTATACTGTATAATGTATATATATTCATATATATATATACATTATATATATGAATATATATACATTATACAGTATATATATTCATATATATAATGTATATATATATGAATATATATACATTATACAGTATATATATACTGTATATAGTATATATTACATATAAACTATATAAAATATGTCATTTATTCCTATGATGGTGAAGCTGAAATTTTAGCAACCATTACTCCAGTCTTCCGTGCCACATGATACTTTAGAAATCACTCTAATATGCTGATTTGGTGCTCAAAAAGCATTTCTTCTTATTACAGTAATATTGAGAACAGTTGTGCAGTTTAATATTTTTATGGAAACTGTGATATATTTTTTTTCATTCTTTAATGAATAGAATGTTCAAAAGAAAAGAATTTATTTCAAATATAAATCTTTTGTATCATTCTAAATAACTTTACTTTTGCTCAATTGAATGCATCCCTGCTGACCCCAAGCTTTTAAACAGTTTTTACCTGTCCGTTTTTAATGTCTTGAAGGTGTCTGAAAATAACATGCATGAATCTGTAACACTCACCCTTGTGTTAAGTGTCGTGATTAATGGGGGCTTAACATCAGAATCTGCTTCAATAAGAGATGATTTGCTTTCATTCCTCATTTCTGGGAAGTGACTTGGAGGAAAGGGGCTGCTTTCAAGAGGGCCCTGCACTGTTGTCAGTCTTTCACCAACTCTCTCCGTCTCTGATTGGTTGAATTCTTCTTTTCCTTGAACAATTGGCCAGTCATATAGCCCAGGCCGCTCTTCTTGTTCTACTGTTGCAGCATCTCTGTCTTCAGCTCTTTTGTCCTCCAAACTTCGGAAACTCTCGGCATACTCAGCATCAGTGTTGTCCAAATCCTGAATGCCTTCTAACAAGGCAAGGTCCTTCATGGGGTCCTCAGAGCCCCTGTGCCTGGGCTGCCAGTGGTTTGGGAAAGACTCTCCTCGAACCAGGGACTGCAGAACCAGTGTCTGTGGGGGCCCACGTTGCAGAAATGCCAGGAGAGAGTCAGTACCAGGTCTCTGCTTCGGCTGGCAGTTCTCTTTGCGCTGACAACTAAGGACATAGCAGCGACGCTCAAAAAACCAGGCCAGGTCACAGCCCGAGAGATCGCAGCAGGCCCCCGCACACTGGGCCAGAGACGAAACATCCGGAACCCGCAAAATACTGCTGCTCCTCAGCTCCGGAGACACTACACTCTCAGAGTAGGTTGCGGCCTGCCAGCATTGTCCCGATACTGCATCAACAAAAAACAACAAATGCACGATGAAAGATATTGGGGTTTATCATTTTAGATTTAGGATACTAATATAAACATGTTACACAACTGAACCCCTTTATACAGTCCAAAGCAACGTCTCCACAAAATAAAATAAAAAGTTTTTCCCAGTGTCTTTTATGTGCTGAAATGATGACAAATTAAATGGCAGCTTGATAAGTAAAGCTCTAGCCAGATGGCAGACTCTGTTCACTGCACAAAAAAAGAAAAAAGAAGATATGTGAATTCCTGAGGCCTCAAAATAACAACATGATCAACACTTTGCTGGAAAAAAAATATTGTAAACAATCTACAATGATTTCTGCCCTCTGTTTCTAAGTTAATACTTTTTAGCAAGTAAAAGGCCTTCTAAAAATTCCAAAAAAAAAAAAGTCCAACTTCAGGTCATAGTACATGTGTCTTTCTGCTGGTAAATCTTTAGTAAACATGTGAATAACATTTATATTATTACTAATATTTCAGGATGAGCATTTACTGGAATGAAGATCAAAATCAAATTAAATTGTAAAATGGTTTCCCCCCTCTTGTATAATACCATATTAACCATAACCACAAATATGTTACAAAAAATAAAACATACATGCAGATTTTTATATATAACTTGTCTAAATGTTCAATAAACAATGTAATAAAAAAAACTGATTATTATATATATTATACATATGTCAGACTTTACATTATTAAATTACAGGTGTCAACATCAACTTACTTCACAACCTGGGCTCTTTTTTATACTATTTATGGATTCTAACTATAATCCAGAATGGCAGTGCAGACTTGTCTTGCTGGTGATGTAAGTACTGCAGAAATATATACATACCTCTGATACAGAAGAGCAACACAAGCGAGAGAATTGGTGAGAAGAAGTTCATGATGCCACTGCCGCTTATTCACAGCAATGGATTCTGACGGTCAGTCCCTCTTCAAACTTAGGTTAAAGACAAGGGAGACAACACAGGCTAGATTATCACAAACAAACAGGACAAAAATAACAATATGGCAGGAGCATCAATCAATTAATAATAATTCAAAGCAATTCTAGAATCTAGATCCTATTTGTGGCAGGGCTTTTGTGATTTGACTTTCACCCTTCATAGCAACCAGCCCCTAGGCTCAGATACCTCTGGAGAAATCTTACATGTGATACTAAAATACATTATATTATCTGCGCTATGTTATAGTATATTATTTAACACAACTGCCACTAGTTGTTACATAAAACAAGCAAATCACTAAACACAACAGGGCTAAATAGAAAGCCAACAGCAAGAATGTGAGCTATTGTGAGTTGTAGCTGTACCAGTGGGATGTGACGCTCTTATTCAAGCATCTGTTTCCATGACATCGAGAGTCAGCTTCCGTACTGCTGCTCCATAGCGAACCCGCGTGCTGGAGTGATGTTGAGATGAAGGTCTGGTATTGCTTCAGTGATGCTGAGATGAAGGTCTGATATTGCTAGAGAGATGTTGAGGTGTAGGCTACGTCTGCGCGAGGGAGTGTGTCAGCAGAGCAGACAGAGACGAGAAGGGCGGAGGGAGGGAGACACGTGACGCAGGCCCGGACTGGCCATCGGGAGCACCCGGAGAATTTCCGGTGGCCTGGCGGCTGATTTGGCCCGCTGCCCTGTTCTTTTCTTTTCTTTTTTTAGTTGTTATTATTATTATTAATATTTTATATTTATGCCTTCTCAATGTACCAAAGTGACCATTTCCGATTTTTCCCACGTGACGCAGGCCCGGGAGCACCGGGAGAATTTCCGGTGGCCTGGCGGCTGATTTGGCCCGCTGCCCTGTTCTTTTCTTTTCTTTTTTTAGTTATTATTATTATTAATATTTTATATTTATGCCTTCTCAATGTACCAAAGTGACCATTTCCGATTTTTCCATTCGATAATAAAGCGATAATAAATCATAAATCGGTTAGTCTTTGCTGTCCGCGCTCGCGCTTCCGTCAAACGGTTCCGAACAGAACTGATGCGCGGGACTCGATGAAGGAGTCACGTGCAGTGCAGGTCAGTTTCATTACATAGTTTTGTCTTTATTACCCTAGTTGAGTATTAAACTGCTAGTATCTGTTAGGCTATCAGTAGCACCCCATTATTATCATCATTCAGAATACTGTGCTAAAGGACATCAATATCGATTGTAGAGTTACATACATTTTTTTTAGCAGAGACAGATATTCACATGGATTTATTGAACAGGGAGGGGAGCTAGAGCATACAGCAACAAAAAAATAATATGAGTCATTTACATTTAGTCATTTAGCAGAGCTTTTATCCAAAGCGACTTACAAATGAGGACAATAAAAGCAGTCAAAACTAACAAAAGAGCAACAATATATAAGTGCAAATGACTAAGTCAAAAGCTTTGAGTCATAGCCTAATAATTCAATACTGTGTTCAGTATTAGAATTTTTCAACAAATATATTATACTAATTTTGACATTTAGGTACTTTGTCAGCATCATTACTCCAGTCTTCAGTGTCACATGATCCTTCAGAAATCATTCTAATATGCTGATTTGCTGCTCAAAAAACATTTATTATTATGTTGAAAACAGATTTGATTTTTGTTTTCAGGTTTCTTTGATGACTCCACTTACTGACTCCAAGCTTTTTGTATAGTGCATGTATAATGTTACAAAAGCTTTTTATTTCAGATAAATGCTGATCTTTGGATCTTTCTATCAAAGAATCCTGATGTACTCAACTGTTTTAAATATTGATAATAATAATAACAACAACAACAAATATGTACATGCTTCTTCAACAGCAAATGAGCATATTAGAATGATTTCTTAAGGATCATGTGACACTGAAGTCTGCAGTAATGAATGATGCTGAAAATTCAGCGTTTTGATCACAGAAATAAATTACATTTTAAGATATATTCCAATCGAAAACAGTTATTTTACTGTAAATAGTAAAAATATTTCACAATATTACTGCTCTTGCTGTACTTTGGATCAAATAAATGCAGGCTTGGTGAGCAGAAGAGACGTCTTTAAAAAACATGAAAAATCTTACTGCTGAAATGTATGAAATATAGGTTTATTAAATCTAGGGTATTGAAGTCATTTTAAGATAAATAACATTCTTTGCTAACAAATTGAAATGTTGCAAGAGAGAACCTTTAATTATTTTCCATGGCCCCAAACTTAGGATTTAGACCTTTTTTTATGTGATGGCCATACAAATAACAGGGTTGTCTGGTTTCAGAAATTGTTGTGGATGTATAGGCTATATACAGGAAATAAGGGGCCAAAATTTCACCTTTTGGGATACAACAGCTTGTCACTGGAACAGTAACCTTAAAAGGACATATTTGTTCCTTTTTTACCCCTAATAGGTATGCCTACAAATGAATACCTTAAGGGTACGAATTACTACTCTTAAGCTACTAATATGTATGGTGTGGGCCTACTGCTACAGTGTCAAGCTGTTGTACCCCAAAAGGTACAATTTTGGCCCCTTTTTTCCTGTGTGGCCTGGATGAGTGTGAGATTTCACGACCCTGACCTGCCATCATCTCTGTGATGTTGCAGAAACACACAATACATCCTTGATTTTGGTATATGAATTGCGTCTTATTTTTGCGTATATACTTGCGTATTTTAAATTTGATTTAAATTAATTGTTGACATAATTATATTATTTTATTCTTTAAAAAAAATACGTTATTAAATTACCATTATTAATTATAATATAATAATGACCACAGCCATAGAGTGTAACAACATCATTTTCGCCATTTCACTTCTTTGAAAACCACCTTTAAAATTCACATATCAGAAAATTGTACATTTCATACTCGGAACGGCTATTTGTAAAGAACCAGAGCCTCTGAAAACAGCTCTGTAAGGAACGGAGAACTAAAAAGGGGCGGGGTTCATTTGTCAGTTTCGGAAGGCTGACTTCTCTCATTTGATCGCTTCGCTGTGTTTCTAAGTCAGTGTATATTCATTATTGCAATTTATTAATCAGTTTATTTATTTATACCATGAAGTACGACAAAAAACATCATGAGATTCGAATGTGTCGCCATCTGACGTGACATAGCTCGAAATCGAAACTTAACAGCTGCTGCCCTGTGTAACAAGCAGAGAAATAAAAGAGAAAGGGTGATGCTTTATTCTTGAGACTTGGGACTTAAGAACAGTTGTTTGTAAGTATTACATTTATGTTATTGTATATCGTAAGTGCTACATTCTGGCTCGCAATCGTGAGTTTAAAACGTGTTACTGTAATTCTCGTACTTGTGACACTGTTTCTCAGTATTTAGTGCTTATTGAATGTATGGTAGTTCGACAAAGGTAAATATAATATAAAATATGTAAAGGTGTAAGATTATGTACATATGGCAGTTCAATATTAATAAGCTATACAAAATAAACTAATGAATGACGTCTAATGTTGCATAATTGTCATATTGTTGGTATATATTGGATATAATGCATGCGGTGACTAATGAGCTAACTATGCTTTTCATAAGCATATGCTGAATAAACTTGTTCATGTCAGGTTTAACTTGACTTCATAGTAATCACTGTCAGGAAAGGATCAATCCCTAGAACAGAAATCGAACCTAAAAACTCACAGAAGTGAGCACAATGTTCCCTATTAAAACGGATAAACCACCGTGTTCACCAAGGTAAGTAAATTATTCAGTATTATTTTAGTTAATCAGTGTCAATGTTAACAATGTTTACAAACATGTTTGTGTTGGTTAGACTGTGTGGATTTCAAAATGCCAAGCTACTTTTGTCATCATAGATATTATGCTGCTACGGTGTTTTATTTTTAATAGACTAAATGTATATGCAAAACAATTGGCGTTGTCATTTTGTTTTCTGATACAGTCATACTTGCTCAGGAGAGCCCTCTGTAGGCTGTAATGACACTACATCAGGTCTTGTAAACACCAAAGTTCAGGCGAAAACTGGGAAGAAGAAAAAGCAGAAAAAGAGACAAAGTGCCACATCCCAAATGAAAACAGCCAGTGAGTGCTCTCAGGTCACTGTTGAAGAGCAGTCTTCACCCTCACAACACCTGCCTGAGCGCCTCGAAAACAGGTCTGCAGGATCAAAGCACAAAAAGAATACCCGAAAAACAAGAAATCAATCTATTTCACCTGCAACTTCTCCTGCAAGTTCCTCTCATCAAGATAAAACCCAGAGTGCACAGCAAACATCAGCTCGCTTTACCTGTGATCAGTCAACCCAGACAGAGGCTTCCCAACTCCAGTCTGTCCAAACACAGTCAACACAAACCCCTCCGATCCAGGATATACTCACACCATCAACAGACTGCAAGTCCACCCAGACAATACAGTCTAGTTTTTCCTTGCAACAGGCATACTGGGGAAGATCTTTCACAGAACAGTCAGCTGATGAGCAGAAAACTCAGTCCAGTCATCTGACACTGATATGCTGGAATATAGATGGTCTGGATCCAGATAATGTCTTTGAGCGGGCCAAAGGTCTGCTTTCACACTTAGGAAAGTAAGTGTTACCCATTAAAAAAAAAACAATTTTTAGGATGCAAATTTCTTTAGACCACATTTTAATACAATATGTTAACATTGCAATACAATGTCCAAACTTGTTGAGCCAGTGTTACTATATACTAATAGATATACTCAAAGAAACAATCAATGTTTTGAACCTACAAATAGGTTACTTGTTTTCTTTTCATATTATGTTGGAATTATTTTAACATTAATGACATTGCACAGAATGCACACATTATGTCTACAGCATGTAGTACTCTCAATTAACTAAAAATATTGAATGTATTACAAAACCACTTACAAAAAGACTTGAATGAATGAGTTACCAAGTGATGATTTTAACGCAGGTACCGTGCAGATGTTGTACTGTTGCAAGAGCTGGTTCCTGTTAGTTGGAAGATTTTAAAGAACATTATGAAGGATTATCAGTTTTTGCAAGGTATGTCCATGATTGCATACAATATATAAATAAATAGTGTTTCTGGTATGAATCTTAGATCATTTGGTGTTTCAGGCAGTGAAGATGGCTATTTCACTGGCATTTTGCTCAGAAAGGACAGAGTGCAATTCCTCCAGAGCAATATTGTGAAGTACCCCACCACAGAGATGGGTAGAAACCTGCTAATAGCACATGTGGGTTTTTTTATCCATTGGATAATTATTGATTTAATATGCTTTTTCCCTTTATTATAATGAAATGTTCATATTGTAAATTTAGAGCATTCAAAATATTTAGCTTACTGTTTCTGTTTACATGTTTATTTAGGCAAGCTTTTTAGGCCATCCACTATGCATTATGACATCTCATCTGGAGAGCTGTAAGGCAAGCTCTCAAGAACGCTTGAATCAGCTGCGGAGAGTCTGGAAATGGATGAAAGAGGCTCCACAGGACCACACTGTTATATTTGGAGGAGATACCAACCTTAGAGATTGGGAGGTTGTGTATGATACTAACACGTGTTTGCCCTGATGT